AAAAACGATGGGGAATAGAAATACAATCAGCGGGCTTCACATTCCCTGTCAACTTAGGATGTTGGTCGAACCAGAACTTGAACTCTGACCTTCCGAATGGCAGTACGCAATGCCTACCACTCGGCCAATGCGGCCGCCAATAATTAATTGAATTCCAGTCTTTTCTTTATTTTGATCTAATTAAAACGAAACGATTTCTTACAAAAAAATTATTTATTTACCTAAATGAAAATGCTTAACTAATAAAAATTATAGCTGAGACTAGGAATATTTATCATTCTAAATTAAAACCATAACTTAAGTAAGTAATTCATTATCATCTACCAAACTAAGTTTAAAGTCATAAGTACTTCGTTGACTGATATTGGATAATCCACAAAAAGAAAAGGGGGAATGGTTGTCCATGCTGTCTCACACCTTTCCTTAACCAGGAATTATTTTTATAGAACTTGCTTGATCTCTGCCCAAATGTTCTCAATTGGAATGGGGCATTTAAATAATCTAAGTTTTTACCAACATTCTGGTATGCTTAAGCTTGTTGTTGGTTACTGATAGATCCATTCCAGCGCATGATATAGCCGACCTCATTACTTCACTTTCCTTTACGACTCATTAGAAAAGCATCCTTTTGGTACTCACATGTTTTACCGTCCGAGAGACATATCTCGGGTCAAAAGAAATATTTTTTGGCCTTCGTATATCCTATCGGCACTCATTTTTCAGTTCGTTTTAAGTGTAAAAATATCAATATTAAAATTTTTATAAAACACTGCTATTATGGGGTGAAGTAAAAAGTTCGTTCGGTTTTTATCTAAGAGATGGCGTTGTTGTCCATAGTACTAGTGTTACGTGTCGCATCATGTCAGCTTTTCGATTGATTGACTCAGTACGTTGTGAGCGTCAAAAGATGGACACCAAAAAGAAAATTCCGTATATTTTACAATTTTTCTGCGATAAAGGCGATAAAGCAGCCAAAGCGGCTGAAAAAAATTAATTTCGTTTATGGTCCCGATACTCTAAACGAACCTGCAGCACAAAAGTAGTTTGATAGGCTCCGTTGCGGTAAGTTCGATGTCAAAGATGCAGCACGCGTCGGAAGGCCCGTCGTCGAAAATTGCGATAAAATCTTGGAAATAGTGGAAACAGACCGTCACGTGAGCACTTATTTAATTGCTGAGGAACTTAAGAAAAGCCAGAAAACCGTTTGGAATCATTTGGGTAAACTTGGATTCAAAAAGAAGTTCGATGTTTGGGTGCCACACGAACTAACGCAAGAAAAGCATGATAGACCGAGTTTCCATCTGCGAATCGCTGCTGAATGGCAACAAAATCGACCCGTTTCTGAAGCGGATTGTCGATGAAAAATGGGTCACTTACAACAACATTGAGAGCAAACGGTCGTGGTCAAAGCTCGGGGAAACGGCCCAGACGGTGGACAAGACCGGATTGACGACCAGGAATGTTTTGCTGTGAGTTTGGTGGGATTCGCAAGGAATTATCTACCGGCATCATCTACGATTAAGGCAGCACTAATCCAGAAGAGGCCAACTTTGATCAACAGAAGCCGAATTGTATTCCATCAGGACAACGCCAGGCCACACACGTCTTTGGTGACTCCCCAGAAGCTCCACGAGCTCGGATGGGAGGTCCTAATGCACCCACCTTATAGTCCGGACCTGGCACCAAGTGATTACCATCTTTTTCTGTCCATGGCGAACGCGTTTAATGGTGAGAAGTTGGCCTCAAAAGAGGCCTGTGTAAATTGGCTCTCCGAGTTTTTTGCCAATAGGGACGCAGCCTTCTACGAGAGGGGTATAATGAAGTTTGCATCTCGTTGGCAACAAGTTTACGAACAAAACGGCGCATATTTTACTTAAATCGGACAAATGTACACAATGTTATCATAGTTTGAAAAATCAATAAAAAAACCGAACGAACTTTTTACTTTAACTATAAATTCGAACTCTGCGCGAAGTTTATAATTATGGTCCTACACATGCGCATACAAAATTATAAATTAGTCATATTGCTCATGTACTCGTATGTATATATGTATGTACATACTTTTAGATGCTAAATTTTCTACTTTTATTTTACCTTTATACATTTATATATACAAGCATACATACATACATACATACATACACAAATTAAACAAATTTATTCTCCGGTTGTTTGCAGAAGTTTTTACACTCATTTATGAGTTTTGTTTTTTCGCGAGGGTCAAGGTCAGTCAAACGAAATTTAGAACTTAGAAGAGACATAGCAAATAATGATTGGCGAATAGTGAGTTGTTTATTTGTGTAGGTACATGCATGTGTGTGTAGATAAATGTAGATAGGTGTACGAGTATGTGCGTTACGGTGAATGTGAAGTAAAACGATTGCACACGCTTTGTCTATTTTGCATTTTAAAAAGTTATTACACACATACTAACATACGCACAAGTGTACATATGTATGATTGGACATGTATTTACATACATTTTGTATAATTCGACTGTGATTTGACGGCAGATTGTAGAATGAATGATGGTTTTTATGCATGTATGTACGTTTTTATGTATTTTTAAACTGGTTTTTGAATTCTTTGTTAATTAAAATTTAAAGCAATCAAAAAAATTAAGAAACATTTTACAAAAGCATCAACCACTCGAACCTGTTTGAAGATATTCCGCACCGTGGTGGTCCACTACCCAGAAATACTTAGCGATAGTGAAAGTAAGGCTCGCTAAAGAGCTCTCTTGTGTACTAAGCTTGGGACCCAGCGCGTTAAATAAAATATTTCGAATGGAAACAAATTAAATGTGGTATGTAGTACCCAAATCCGGCATAAAAGACATCGCCAAGTCAAATTCCTGTCTCCGGATCAAAAAACTCGAAACCAAAGCGAACATAAAGTAATTGGTTTCCAGTGTTATAGACGTGCGTACATTCCGAGGTCCAAGTATCTACTCCGATCACTGTCTGCTGCAGCCAAAATACTTACTTGCCTCTGTGAAGTTTAGAACGCCCCACAGTGGCGAGTGTGAAAGATACTGAGAGTTTAAAATGCCGAAATGCGTGAGTGTGAAGTGCTTGAGAAACAGACCGATCGGAGTAAAACTCCAAAGTTCAATGAAAAAATGCGTCGTCTTACAGAAAGCGCCTTCATTTAGAAATCTGGAAAGTAACCGATTTCCATAGCATATTTAGTATATGGAAGGAACACTACTCCAATCTACTGCATGGCAGTGAATGCGTAATACGTAGAGATGATGAGTTCGAGTTCCTAATCGATGATGATGGAAAATATGTTCCAATATCGGATTATAAAGAAGTTCCACAAGTCATTGCCCGCTCCAAGAATAAAAAGTGGCGGGAGCCTATAGCTTACCGATAAAGGTATTCAAAATGACGTCGAAGAGTGGACAAGACGCATGCATCAGCTTCTTTGCAAAATATAGTCGAATGAAAGCAGCCCCAACGATTTGAACCTAAGTGTGCTCTGTCCAATCCAATTACTGCGAGATAAATCTCTTCAATACTGCACATACTCCTAGTTCTATCGAGCGTATTGTGTAAAAAATTCAAGCACACTTCCACAACTGGTTTGACCTTATCAGTGTGGTAAAATACACCATTCATCAAATACTCACCATTCCTCAAATACTCTCCAATCGTCAAATCTTGGAAAATTTCTAAGAGAAATGAATCGATAGGTTCCAACTCTTCATCTCTCCGAGTCCTTCAATAATAAACGAGGTTTCAGATACGATGGATCTTTACCATGGAGGAAACAATGCAATCTCCAGAGCTAAACAAAGAAGGTACAATATTCTACCAGACCATGCACGTGGCAGTGTATGCCACAACAGCATCATTAGTTCTGCTTTCTCCAGACTAGATAAGGGAGCGCAGCTAGTGGCTCTGGTAGTAAGCTAGGATAAGACGAAATATCTCCTACCATCAAACAATTAGGGCATTCGGGTCTGATCTCCCCCGTCACTGTTGATAGTCATAGCTATGAAATCCTTGATAATTTCGTCTATCTTTGTTGTTGCGTAGGCATGAACGATGACAACATCTGACGAGTCGGCGTTAAGAGTTTTAGAGAGAAAGGTTTTACGGAAGAGTTATGGGCCTTTGCGCATCGTGAACTGGGAATACCGGTGTACGTGATTTACAACGAGATTGGCATTGTTTACCGAAACAATAGCCAAGGGCTAGGTCCTTTAGGAAGAGCTATAGGATACCAATGAAAAGATCCGGAGAAGTACATGGGTTCCCTGGCATATCCAACGGAGAAAAGAAGAAACAACTGTCGTGCAGTGTTCATAGGACTATTTAGCGCCAATGGCTAAGGGTAGCCACCAACTGCAATATACTTTTCTTTGTAAAAGCAATTTTAAAAGAAAAAAGCAAATCGGGCCCGGCTAAAATAAAGACGGCGAAAAAAGCAGTACCTAGGTACGTCAATTAAGAAGCATAAAAATCTCAATGGACTCTGGAACATCACCTAAAGGCCATATCAGATACTACAAGGAAAATGTGTAAAAGTAAGTAAATCTTGTTCGGTTTGGGCAAAATATATATGTAGATATACCCCATAGGTAGCAGTTTTTTTAGAAAGTATGGTTCTGCCAGGTTTATAGCTTCTTTATCTGCGTCTCGCTAGCCCTCGTTTCCCAAATCAGTCGGCGTAGTTGATTTCCTGTTGATTTAGCCATGTCCACACACATATGAACTGCTAAAACACACAAAAATATGAACAATAACAAAAATATTCGTAATAAATGTAAAAAAAAAATAATTGAAGAGAGTAGAGTGCCGGCTAAAGGTTTAAAATCGTGATATGAAATATATTTTTAAAGGAACTACACTTCATCTGTACCTATTTATTTTTGTTTTTCAATATAAAATTGTATTTCAGTTACTAAAACGTAGTTAGTTTGTTGCTCTATTGCAAGTTTTTAACTATGATGCGCCAAAGTAATTTGGTAGAATAAATATAACCAGATATCAGAAGCGATATGTAAACGTTTATTGAAAAGTAAATAATGTATAAAGCTTTTTCGTTTATTTTGTAATTAGATTAAAATGCCATTTCCTTTATTCACATTGCCTCAAAGTTTGTATAGAAATTGTCTTCCAAACAGCGTGAAACCAAAAGGAAGGTAGTCGTAATATAATAAATAAACAGATCAATGTTTTTTCTTTCGCCTGCCTGTTTTTCCTGCTGAGGTACCTGCTTCTGGTTCAGGCATTACCACAGTACCGCTCACTATTTCTTCCTTCAGTTCTGAGTCAGCAATTTTGCTTTGTGCCTGCATATAGAACATAATATCCCGTAATTGCTCCTTGACATCATTCAGTTCAGCTTCACGCGCTTCCTTGTATTCTTTGTATTGTTTCTCGAGTGCTGTATATTTCGTCTGCCAGGAGCTGTGATTACTTTGTAAGGTCTTTGAGAATTCACGTTCCTCTGCTAATTGCTTTTGTACATCTTTCAATCTGTAGTTAAACAAATAAAGTTTGCATTACTATTTTTTTAACTAAATATATATATATATATATATATACAAATATATTTACTTCGTAGCATTTTGCATCAACTTGCGTTCTAAACTTTGTTTCTCCTTAGAAAGCGTCTGCACTTTTAATTCCAAATCGTTAACCTTGCTGCTATCATTGTCAGCGCCCGCTTTAAAATCACGCCATTCCATTTCCAAACGATCCAAACGATCCTCATAGTATTTTCGCTGTGTGTCCAATTGCGAAGTGAGCAGATATGTGAACTCTAGTTGCATTGAGTCGATTTTCTCCTCCCCTTCATCATTAGCCGTAGCGACAAGTTTGCCATCAGTCTTATTTTGAAAGAGTCGATGAACAAAGTTATCACCTGCATAATCCCAAACACTCGATGTACCCAATTGCATGGCAAACGTGTGATTAGTGGCACGATAATGGGCTGCAGCATGCCCGCCTTGGTAGCGACCACAACCGACATGACCGCAAATTAGGCAAATCCATAAGGAGTCAGTGCCTTCACATTCCATACAAACTGAGTTCTCAAGTAATTCCGGAGTCTGTACGTGACGGCACACGGGGCATGTAGAGTCACCCCACTTGGTAAGGCAGTTGGCGTGAAATGTGTGATTACAGAGTATTGTCAATACTCCATCTACACTCTCATCCATGCGCTCCAAACAAACTTTTTTTGAATAAAATAAATTTGTGGTTTGTATTAATACTTTTCTGGATATTATATATAAATATATATATGTATATTGTACCTGGACAATTCGGCAACTCAGTATGTCCAACTGGTGGCACGCCATCGCCGCCACGTTCTATTTCTGATACCCAAACTGCATGGCAGAGAGAGTCTGGCTCAAGTAAATTATAAGCAGCGCCATTGTAGGATTTGTAGAACTCCAAGGCACCCATATTTGAACGAAATCTATAAATATTATTAAATGAAAAACTAATACGCCTATTAATGTATAACTCTCACATACTCCAAAATAACCATAAACTGATTGGGGCTACCATCGCGAACAATACGTATATGACGAATCTCGGATTGACATGGTGCAACAAAGCCCATCAAATCGTGACAGCTTACACTGGCTGGTACGGCAAGTAAGCATAACATTTCAGATGGCCCTTCCTTTAGTTCCTTACGCTCACTAAAATTGTATTCGAATTCGTTTTAAATAAAAATGAATTAATTCCGAGATACTCACTTTTTCTTGTACAAGTGTATAATTCCATTCGTAACTTCGGGGTTACCTGAAAAGAAACCAATTTCTTTCGGAAATTCTGAGGCACATTGCCCTTCTTCAAGAGGTGTAGCTTCTCGTGAGCCACTAGCAGCTGAACGCAAGTTCTTTTTACGATCTTCACTCATTTCATGAGCAGTTTCCACCTCACCACTAGCCAGTTCTTTTTCTCGTACTGACGTTCCAGCTGCGCCTTGCAGCTCTTCTTCACTTGCCCACAAGCGGTTGGTGTAGGTTTGAATTACGATTTCACTGGACTGTCTTAAACCACGATCCCGCTCGCGTTCTTTTAGCACACGCGGATTTGTAGGATGCTCTGCAGAAGTGGCACCAGGTTCTACAAAGATGTAAATATAATCAATGTAATGCTGTATCTATATACATAATTTCTGCGAAACTACGCACCAAAATTCTCACCAAACTGTGGATCAATTTCGATTTTAATGACGCACAACGATACCTGATTTGGCATTTGTTGTTATTGTTACAAAAATTTTACAGTTTTTATATACTTCCTTTGTCCTTAATCATTAAAGTATTATGTACTTAGCGCAGCGAAAGTATCTCTGCCCGCGGACTATCTATTTATTTTCGTTCAGTTTGCTTTGCGATACTTTCACAAATTCACTTTTTTCAACAAATGCATTTTTTTATTTTAACTACAGTAAGAGCTTTTCTCTCCGTTCTTTGCGAATGTTTTTACAATTACACCATGTAAATTTGATTTTTTCTCGCTTTTGTTTACAAGAAATTTTAAGGATCAGCTGATGAAAACAGAACAAATAATTAGAGAACGTAAGCCAGTGTTGCGTACCTTAGGTAGAATAATGTCTTATTTTGTTTCCGTTAGATGGCGCGCAGTAAGCTTCCGCTCAACATTCTTTTCCTGTTAATTTTCAGTAATTTACGGAGTATACATGAACGATTGAAAAATAACTTCTTGCTGTCCACAAATCCATTGTACCCTTGCATATGAAAAAATTCAAAGAAGTTCGTAGGAGATTTGAAGAAACAGCATCTAAGCGGAAGCTCTGTTTAGACATGAGATATACCGCCCAGGGCGTCATCTATCGACGATTCGTTTTAGATATTGTAAGACATTATAATGAATGATACACATTAGATTGCGACTATTAGTTTTTATCCTATAAAACTCTACTTTTGTATATGCCTACATAAAATCTATCAGAAGAAACGACGAGAGTAAACCAGTAGCTGATAACTGGAAGCATAGCGCCCGTGGGCTCTGTCGTTCTTGAAATATACGGCAGTCTTCTATATGAAAATATTTAATATTGTTGGTACAAAAACTCAACGATTCTTGCGCTCAAAGATGGCAAAGGTCATACATTTGACATAAAGTATTAATTTTCTGGTAAAAACTATATCTTAACTATTTTAGCAACTACTAGCCACCTCTTTGCATGTCACCAACTCATCTAACGCCCCTCTCCCTTTGGTCTGAATTTGTCGAAGCAGCTAGTTTCCTGGACCTCCTGTTAGAAAGCCTCGACGATTTAGACAAACTACCCTCTTTCTAGGGAGGTTGGTCAACCTCTATCACAACAACAGACAAAAAGCCAGTAAAATGATAGAGCACAATTTCAACATTTCGTTAGTGGTTAACTCTTAATGGCATATCTCTCCGAACAGAGTTTTTGAAAGTTAATGATTATACATGAATATATTATGTAAAGTAAAAAGTTCGTGCGGTTTATATCTAAGAGATGGCGTTATTGTCCATAGTATTAGTGTCAGCTTTTTGATTGAGCGCTCGTCAAAGATGGACACCAGCAAAGAGAAAAATCACTTTATTTCACAATTTTTCTTCGATCAAGGCGAAAAAAGCAGCCAAAGCGGCTGAAAAAATTCTTTTAGTTTATGGGCCCGATACTGTAAACGAACGTATAGCATAAAAGTGGTTGTTCCGGTAAATTCGATGTCAAAAATGCACCACGTGTCGGGAGGCCTGTCGTCGGAAATTGCGATAAAATCACGGAAATAGTGGAAACAGAGAGTCATGTGAGCATTTATTTAGTTGCTGAGGAACTAAAGATAAGCCAGAAAACTGTCCCAGATGGTGGACAAGACCGGATTTATGGCCAAGAAGGTTTGCTTATGTGTTTGGTGGGATCGGCGAGGAATCATCTACTACGAGCTGCTCCCCTATGGCCAAACGCTCAATTGGGCCCTCTACTGCCAACAAATAGACCGCTTGAAGGCAGCACTCATCCAGAAGAGGCCATCTTTGATCAACAGGGGCCGAATTTGGTTCCATCGGGACAACGCCAGGCCACACATGTCTTTGGTGACACGCCAGAATCTCCAGGAGCTCGGATGGTAGGTCCTAATGCACCCACCTTATAGTCCGGACCTGGCATCAAGTGATTACCATCTTTTCCTTTCCATGGTGAACTCGCTTAATGGTGAGAAGTTGGCCTCAAAAGAGGCCTGTGAAAATTGGATCTCCGAGTTTTTTGCCAATAGGGACGCAGCCTTCTACGAGTGGGGTGTAATGAAGTTGGCATCTCCGTGGCATCAAGTTTTGTTCGCATATTGGATTTAAATCGGACAAATGAACACAAAGTTATCATATTTTGGAGAGATCAATCAAAAACCGAACGAACCTTTTACTTTACCTAATATTTGCACTCGAATTCGGTTTATATTATATTAAAAGCAATACACTGTACATAGACAGAATGATCATGTCAATATTAAAATTTCAAAAGAAACTAAACAAATTTCATATTAAAAAGACAAATTTTTGGAATTCAACTTCAAAAGCAGTCACACCCCTGCAAAACCCGGCTAATGGGTTCACCAATACGCTCACGGGATTTCAGGCAGCACTAACACATATGCACATTTTTTTGTTTATCTTTCTCTTCTGAGCACATACTAATTGAAGAAGAACGCAGTTGAATGGATTATCCTAATTACTTTTTCCTTATTTTCGAAATAGAACGCCATTTTGTGATGAGGATCCTGTACAAGCTGTTGTAATAATATATTTTGGATTAATTAGGTGCTTCATACTTCATTGTTTTTTACATTTGCCAATTTAAGGGCACTCCATATCGTACGGAGAGATCAGTTAATGGAGCAGGTTGACTGCAATGGACTGCAATTTAAAAATATTGGACAAAACTTTGCGAGGTACAACTGCGTTTAGACATTAATAACATTATTACTTAGAATTGTCTTAGACTTGTATTTATATTTCGAGGACCTGCGTCACTACTAAAGACTTCTGTATGTGCTTATAATATTTTGTTGATTTTTGAAAACGAATTTATTGTTGTATTGTTATTTCTTTTCTATGCTATATAAACCATGTATCTGATCTATGTAAAAATATTGGAATAAAGACTGAATCTTAACAATTTTTGTATATATGTACATGCATATATATACATATATGTAGGGAAAATGTTTGTCAAAGCTGATTTCCTTCGGCATCAATGCTGATGCTCATCTGTGTTCGACTTGTACGGCACTGCTTCGCTTTTTCACGTCAATATTGTTTTGTTTTGGTTTCAATGCTGTTGCTCAGGAAACGAAGAGAGAATGACGTACACGTATACAAATGTAAGCATCAAATTTGTCATTTCGTCCTTAAGAAAGTGATAGAAAAATCGTTCTACGAGTTGACGGGATATGACATCATGCATTCGTGAAATATGTTGGCTCAAATGATCGGAAGCCTTCTTACAGGAACGTGGCATAAATAATTTATCGGAAATTGAATTTAAATTTTTGGTAATCATCTTTTTTAAGAATACTCAAATCCTTTGACACCAGTTTCAAGACAAATAAAAATTGGAAATTATCTAATATATGTATAAGATTCTCGTGCCACAGTGTTGGACACGATACTCCTCGAAACGGCTTTACGCAATATAATGAAGTTTTATGTTCATATTTATTTCTGAGAATAGCATAACATCTATCGTTCACACCGAGAAAAGGACTTGGGTCTGATCTAAATGAAATTCGATAAATAGGTAGCCTTGGTCCATTCCATAACTCTATAAATGGCATTATTAATAGATATTTATATTATAACCAAGTGAGAGAAAAAATAATTCTCAGAACGAGACATGCGGTCAATTTTTAGAACATATGCGGTCTCTCTCAATGAGAAACCCTTATGTTGAGAACAATTTATAGTTTTTTCTGAACTGATAACGGCTGTACCCAAATAAAATTCAACTTTATTAAGAAAATCTCGGGGACCGATTCATGCGAGATAATCGATAAGTTACCATTCGATACACTTGAAATTTAATTTCTTGGTATCTTATAGTTTAGATTAACATGCAGAAACTGGTCCTTAATAATGGCAATCATGGGTCAATTTTCTAAATTTGTTTTATTTTCGTTCGTATGGCCTGCTGGAATTTTCCCTTCTGAAGCCGCTTAGTTTAGTTTAAGCAATTTTATATTTTATTACCACTGTTAATGTAATATAAGGGCAAGTAATTAAGGCGAGGCGAAGTTCGCTGGGTATGCTAGTAATATAATGAACAGCAATTTTACATCTCTTCATTTACAAGCTTAGCTCATTTCAATATTCGCCATTGCCGCGAATTGTAACGGTTATCCTCTGTTAGCGGCATGTACGCCAATCGTTTTCCTATCTCTGTCGCTAGCGCTGTTGTCCTCGTCCTTCCGTCGCTTCTGTCGGCTTCGTGTTTATCGTCGGCACATTGTTTTTGTACACAAATTGCCTTTCATGGGTTGCCCTTGTGTAGACAACTGCTGTTGCCGCTACTGTTGTTGCTGTTATTGCGCCTACAAATACGCATGTATATGTTTGACAACATTTTCCTTCTATAAACTTGTTTCACATTCCTTTCATTTGTTGGAAACCAATACATGCCCACTTCGTTTCTGTACAGCTTGACTGTCGCGACAACAGAGCTGAGCTACCGTAAGCAGTAAGCAAACCTGATGCCTTTCAGTGGCCTTACACAGTGCCAGCTTCGAGCTGAACTGGCAGTAACTGTTGGTGCGGCATTGTTTTTGGACGATTTTGTGTGCTTTGCGGATGATGCACGGATGTGTTGCGCGCCATGCCGAAGTCTAGTACGAGTACTAACCAGTGTTAATGTTTTGAAGTAAGCAACGTGTGAAGGACGAAATGTGATGTTACAATTTGTTGCGTTTGTAACGGTAGTGTTGTCCGTAGTGTTGTTGGTGTCTTCTTTTACGAGTTCGCTGTTTTACAAGAGTGGTGATATACATAGGTTATTGGCGAGTCGCGTATCAGCCGTTAGTGAATATCAATGTACAAACGTACTACCTACACTCATATTTATATTAGTAATTACATACATATATGTATATATAATATATAACAGAGTATTTATGTAAATGGGCGGTGTGTGTGTGTGTAGTTCTTGTTGGGTATGAATGATTTGTGTAGTAAAATTATACTGAATCCGATTTCCAGCAGCGACCTTTTGCAAAAAAAAAAAATTAAAAAAAGAGAAATAAAAACAAAAAGGCATTAACAAATACAGCAGTGAAATACAAAAACAACCATTGTACACTCTGTAGGATTCCCATTTGTGTGTTTTCTGTTTTCTTTTCTCTTTTCGCATTTAATTAGCTTGGCAGCAAAAACAATTTAACAATAACAAAAGCAACTCTGAATGAAAACAGCAAGTAAATGTAAGCAAAGACAGACAGACAGACAACAAGTAAATAGTCAGTCGTTTATGCAATAACAACAACAACGCCATACAATCTGTCGAACTACGGGGAATGCGACAGGACGCGATAGAAGGTAAATAAACGGCAGCATTCAATTTACAAATCTGCTTTGAGTTATGTCGTATTTTTTGTTTTCATTCTGTGCTGTTTTATTTTTACGAAATGCAAACAATTTAAACGCAAACTTCATTAATTAGTTAATTAACTAATTACAAAAGAAAATTAGAAATTCACACAGCAGCAAATGCAAACAAGCAACCGGGCGAACGAGAGAGCGAGCAAGCGAACATTGAGCCAATGAGAGTAAGTTGGGTGAGCGAAATGGAAAGCGGAAGGTGAAGCAACGACAGAAACAAGTGAAGGAAGCTCGCGCCAAATTACAAGAAGCACGTAATGAATGAGCGGTGGAAGTGCAGTGCGGCGTTTGTAGGTGAAAGGTGAAGGAAACAGGTGAAGTTGTGAAAAACTAAGCGAAAGAGGAGAAAGTGGGGGGCGAGTGAAAAAGATTAAAGCTGTAAAGAGTGCCAAGGCAGATGGCTGTGAGTGAAACAAGCAAAAACAGAAAACTCATAAAATGGTGGACATTGTAGTAGATGGGGGGAAGGGGGGATGCGGAAATTAATGGCAGATGAACTGAGTAGAAAAAGGTGAAGAAAGTGTGCATAAAGAGTAACACACTTATCTACATAGACATATATGCACATATGTATGTATATTAGAGTGATTAATATTTTTTGAAATCAAATATTTTCTACTTTTATTGCATGAAATTGTTTACATTTAAAAATTATTCACCAAAACTTGAGCCTATTAATAGCTTAGGCGTCAATCACACCACAAGGAATAGGAGTAAGCAACGTTTGAGTTATCTAGGGTTCAGTCTTTGGTAAGACCGAGGTAATAAAATACGAAAATATAAACATTTAATAAGAATCCATCATCCCTTAAGAGGTGACTGGAAACTTTTGTGCAATCCATTGGTAGTATAGCCGCATTGGCCAAGTGGCCAAGTTAGCATTAGCCATTCGGAAGGCCAGGCTTCGAGTCCTATTCCGACCAACTTCCAAGAATAAATAAGTTTTTCTGATTGCGATCGCTACTCGGCACGAGTACAAAAAATCACTCGTTTGGAGGTGATTTAGTATAAACTGTGAGCCCCTCCATTGGTTGGGAAAACCTCAATATGCAGCTTATGACCGACAGTGTTGTTCGAAAGCTTTGTTTGATTTAAATTAAATAAAGAAGAAATAATTAAACATTTAAATTCAATTCAAAATGGAAATAATTAAAAGATTTTTCATAGAATAAAGTTCTTGCTCAGCCCTATTTCCGGAGAATCAGCCATTGGTGAAACATAAAAATTATTTTTGCGATCTCTACAAGATATCAGATTAAGATCAGCTTTGAATTAATGAAAATTAATCGTATTCAAATAAAAAATATAATAACATTTTCACCGATTTCCTTATTCTTTTACACATCATTGAAAACTTAATTCGAAAATTTCTTTTTTCAACCGGAATTTCGATATTGTAGTGAAGCCAAAAATAGAAATATAGGAAGCATTAACACGGTTGATGCTTTCAAAAATTCCAAATACACGTACAAATATAAAATTTCGAAATTCGGTTTGAAAAAAGTTTTCTACGATTTCTTTGCAAATTCGCCCCTTTGGGTTCTTACGGGCATTAGAAGCCAATATCCAATTTCGATTCAAAATAAATGAGCCGAAAGAAAAATTGAAATTGAAAATTTTTGTTCTACGCACAAAACTAGTCAAACTGTGATGAAAACAAATTCCTCTTTGCCAACAAACAATTTATCAGGTAGAAGATGAAAAAATACTTACACAGCAGAGGTCAGTCTAATATTACAAACGTACACAATCAACTATACATATGCGTGTACGCCAGCGTATAAACGCAGGAAGTGATCGGAAGGAAGCAAGACGCAGCGGCGTATACGTAACGCCAGCAACGAGTACGAAAATGCGACAGAGAAAACAACATTCGGGGGTTTATTGTAGCAGACGAAGTAATAGAAATTTTCTTTGTGGAAGATGGAAGATGGTGGGTAGCAAGCTATTATATGGTTGCATGTTATTGTTGCGCATAGCTTCGCTTGCCGGCTTGTTCATCTAACTAAAAAACAGTATGGGCGCAAAGTGATTGCATAGTAGCTGATAAATATTTAAAATGTTAGTCAATGTTATATCGATGGCTGGCAATGGCAATAAGTACAGAGAGAATAAGTTTTACGAGTTTATGTGTATGTGTGTGTGTGCGTGTAGTAAAATTAAAAAAATAAAGAAAAAGAGATGAAAGAGAATAGAAAACGATTTAAAGTAAAAAAAGTTCAAGTACCAGATAAAAGAGCGCCAAAATCATCGCACAAAATGAGAAAAGTTGTGGAGCAAGCAAATAATAGAAAATGAAAACGCAGTTATACACATATAATGAAAAAATGAGCGCAAAAGTAATCAAAAATTTTGAATTGCAATCCTGTTCAAGTATTGTTGAGTCAATAAGGCTATTCCTCTTTATGTGAATATATATGTATTTGTTCAAATAGATTGGATATTGAGCGGCTTCTGAAAATGATTTCGTGAGTATTGCCAGTGTTTTTGAAAGTTTTAAAAATTGAAATTTTTAGGCATTTCTACAAGGCGCAAAATTATGAGCTAACTCATCTAAATAATCAATATAACAAACCTAAGTTTAAAAAAGTATGTTAATAAATCTTTAGTATTATATGTATGTATATATTCTATACTATAATTGTGTTTAACTGTAAAGACTGAAACAATTTTCAGCCGATCTCTTAATCCACTTTATGGTAAACATATCGATGTTTTCCAATAAAATGAGTGACCCATGACCTTCCGCATAATATTTTAAAGTATTTTAGCATTGTTAATATTTCAGTGGTGGCTTTCGAAATATATTCGGTTCCCCATTTATTGTACTTGCATTGCCAAGAAAATTATTCGATATTTGGTGTATGACGATAACATTTTATGCCAAAGCGCAAACTTCTTTCGTTCAAATAGAAAATGGGCAGAATTTAGAATAGAACTTTTCGTTCATCTAATATATGTACGTATGTACAAAATATATGCATGATTTGCGATTTGTAACCAATGTAAGCGATTTTGGGCCGAGTTTCTGCTAATTATTGACATTTTTTATTAAAGCTTGCAGAGAAATGTTAAAAAATATGATATTTGTTAACGAAGCTGAAATAATTTTTAAATATATGTATGTATCTAGATCCCGCGATATTTTCGAAAAAAAAAAACACATACGATTAATATGTATGTTATAATTAAACATCGAAGCTTTGGCACTCCTAGATAGGGTGAAAAGGGTTTTAGTCGTAAGTCCAAATAAATGACTGTAGGAAGTAAACATGGACTGACTACCCGAAGCGGACGGACATACTAAAAGACTACTACTAATATAATATTAACTTAAGGCTACTATAAAATACAACCTTGCCAGACTGAATATAGGCAGTACTAACTGCACGAATGAACGAGACGCGTACTAGACAGAAGACCAAAAGGACAGTTGCTATTTGAATTTCAATAAATACACATCTAATATACATTGAATAAGAAATAAGAGTGTTTTATTATTCCTACATGACGGGTTTCTAGCTTTTTCGGATAACAAATTGTGACATTAATTTTAAAAAATATTATTCTGTTTATTGAACAGTTGACGCGCTATGTCATTTTAAATAGCATAATCATAGAAAACTTTGATTTCTACAGACTGCTTGGTTTCTAGGAGCTAGCTTATCCACGGGCACACATTCGAAATGAAAAAATTATAATTTTTATATTTTCACCTCTGTTTAAACAAAACAAAATGCGGTAAGTTTTTCAGAAAAACAAATCTTTTTGCAATTATTCATAATCTTTGCTCTTTTTTATATTCTCTAACATTTTTGGTAAGCACTCTTTGGTAGACTTATTGGCAGTTATCGTCTGACCTTTTTCCTGTTGGGCTCATACCCTGGACTGCTGTTTGGTTTCTGCATCGGACCTAAAGACCAAGATTCGCCACTGGTAACGACTTTACTAAAGTTGCTGGACTGACCTTTTACGTATTTGTTTAGGAAAAATTGAGCGAAATGCACTCGAGTCTCTTTTTGAACCTCATTTAAGTTTCGCGGAACACATCGAGAAGATTTCTTCGCTTATCTGCAATGACTATTTAATATATGCAATACAGCAATGATATTCCAGCTTAAATCATTAGCAATTATTTATTTTGTCAATGGTGAGTCTTCGTCAATTGTGGACTTCAAAAGAGTTACAGTCACGTTATTAGTGGAAAATTTTGGTCGACCTTCTCGGGATCGTTATATACGGAAAAATGTCCAGTATGGAATATTCGGAACCGCTTAGAAATAGTCTTTAAAAAGAACGTTGAAATCGTTCGATATGGAATTCGTCGTTCAATGAGTATTTGTGTTGGATGTAAATTACGCCGAAACCAGAAAAGAATCACATGGCACACATTTCTGTATGCTTTAGGGGGGGGGGGGGG